GTGCTATACGGTGTTCGGAGCGGTGTTATACCGTGTGTAACGTGTCGGGGCAGTGCTATACGGTGTTCGGAGCGGTGTTATACCGTGTGTAACGTGTCGGGGCGGTGTTATACCCTGTCTAACGTGTCAGGGCGGTGTTATACCGTGTCGCGTGTCGGGGCGGTGTTATACCGCGTGTAACGTGTCGGGGCGGTGTTATACCGTGTCGCATGTCGGCGCGGTGCTATACGGTGTTCAGAGCGGTGTTATACCGTGTGTAACGTGTCAGGGTGGTGCTATACGGTGTTCGGAGCGGTGTTATACCGTGTGTAACGTGTCGGGGCAGTGCTATACGGTGTTCGGAGCGGTGTTATACCGTGTGTAACGTGTCGGGGCGGTGTTATACCGTGTGTAACGTGTCGGGGTGGTGCTATACGGTGTTCGGAGCGGTGTTATACCGTGTGTAGGAGCGTCACTGTGCCGCGTGTCACATCTTAGGACGATGTCATGCCGACCTATGGAATGCTGTTACAGTCGAGCTGCTGTCACCTGGGGCTCTGTGAAGAAGCCAGGCAGAGATTGCTTATGATGGAGGCAGGGTTTTAGAGAGAGTGGATGGCACACACTGTGGGGTTGCTGAGAAATCTGTGCTATGTGCCGTGATCACGCTTATTATCTGATGTACGTTGTGCAGTGTTCGACGGTTTGTCTGTTAGCCATTTTTGCCTCATGCTATTTCTGAACATTAGAGTATAAATGTTTTACTCATCTAACTTTGTATAGTAACACTTGTTTTGTTCGTTCAAAACTGGAATCTTGAAACTTTATTCTCTCAATAAGCAGCTGAAATTTCAAACCGTGTCTACTTTTAAATAATAAAAAAAAATCAGACATTAAACAAATCATGACACGGATTTGACAGGCTCATAGGGATTGTAATTAAAGTGGCTCCACCAAGTCACAGCTGAGTAGCCCTTCACGTGTCCAAAGGCAGGTTACTCCGTTTAGAATTAGAGAGTGATAGAACACAGGAGGAGGCCATTCGGCCCATTAAGTCTGCACCAATGAGGACTGGGGAATGAAGATATTGTTACCACCCAGATGGGGTCTAGGGGAGCGAGCTAACCCTGAGGAGAGAGGGGGAGTTACAAAGGAGGCAGCAGCTCAAGCCTTGAGGACCCACCCCTATGGGCTGAAGTGGTTTAGAAAATGGGATGTTACTGGGCGATTGTCACATCTTTGAGTGGCACTAGTTTTGGACGGGTTAAAGCAAAAATGCAACAACTGACTGAAGTAAAGTGCAGATTTTGTTTTTCCCCTTTTTTTGTTGTTGCACTGTCTAAAACTGAGTAAGACTGAATGGTGTCTTCGTTCTCCCCCCCTCCCTGTCAAGTCCAACGACCCAGTCACCAACATTTGCCAAGCCGCAGATAAGCAGCTCTTCACACTGGTCGAATGGGCCAAGAGGATCCCGCATTTCTCCGATCTCCCCCTCGACGATCAAGTCATTCTCCTCCGGGCAGGTGAGCTCGTGTTCGACAAACCTCGGGCAGTAGATCACAGAGAGATCTATTCAGTCGCGCACCCTCTCGTTTGATTACAGCAGATGACACGGTCCCATGGTGCGCAGATTTTACTGTCGGCTTGGCATCAAGCAAGAACATGGAGAGACAAAACTGGGCTGGGTGGGGAGGGGGAGAGACAGACAGAGTTCCAAAAACCTGGTCGCAGAGGAGAGATTTAATAATGAGAACGGAGTAAGTACACAAAGGTCATGTTCGTTAAACACTGAGAGAAATTAATGGGTAGAGTGTGTGATAGAGGAGGGTGTACATGGGGTGGGGAAGGGGATTAAATGGGTGGGTAAGGTGTATGTGATAGGGGAGGGTGCACATGGGGTGGGGAAGGGGATTAAATGGATGGGTAGGGTGTGTGTGATAGGGGAGGGTGTACATGGGGTGGGAAAGGGGATTAAATGGGTGGGGAGGGTGTACATGGGGTGGGGAAGGGGATTAAATGGGTGGGTAGGGTGTGTGTGATAGGGGAGGGTGTACATGGGGTGGGGAAGGGGATTAAATTGGTGGGTAGGGTTGGTCTCTGTCAGAGAAATTGGACCTCAATGCCATTAAATGGGAAATGGTCCGATTTGAGTGGAGTGGTGGGAATACTTGTTGTGTTTTCTCTCGTGCAGGCTGGAACGAGCTACTCATTGCTTCATTCTCACATCGTTCGATCTCCGTGAAGGATGGCATCCTCCTAGCTACAGGGTTGCACGTCCATCGCAGCAGTGCCCACAGTGCGGGCGTGGGCTCTATATTCGACAGGTACAGAATGACTGCTCACGTTCTGGTATGCCCTTCCGTCTGCATCCATCTTCCACCATGTACACTGTCTGCAATAGTCCCACTTTGTCCACCTTGTGGGCACCTCTCGGTGCTGAGGCAGACCACAGACTTCAGAGGAACCTCTTCTCTGTGTGAGACTCAGCAAGCAATGCAACTGTGAAAAGTCTTACAGCCAACACCACACCCTGAGGTTACCATCAACCAGCCAGGAGGAGGTCAATGGAACGTTCTTTATTCTTTCACAGGATGCGGCTGGGCCAGCGTCTGTTGCATATTTTAATAAGATTGATGAGAAATGTTAAATGTGGCTGATGATCCCTCTCTTGTCCAAGAGGACGGAGGGAATTCCAGAGCTTTAGAGCAGAGATTCCCAGACTGTGGGCCACAGTGGGGTCATGAGACAGGATGGCAAGCTGTAAGTGCTGCAATGAAATCTGCCTCAGCACCAAGAGGTCCCCACAAGGTGAACAGAGTGGGGGTACCGCTGGCGGTGTAAGTGCTGGAAGATGGATGCAGATCCAGAAGTCTGCGTGCTCACAGCCGTGAGGCCTTTTGAAATCCTCCTGGCCTGTTTTCTATCGGTGGGCGTGGAAAATCGCTGCTGCTAGTGGTGTCTGAGGACATTAGAATGGGGGTCACATTGGAGTCAAAGCAGCTGAAGGCAACACCGCAGTGGTGAAATGAGACACTAACTGCTTTACCTTCCTGTCTGTCCTGGCAGAGTTCTGACGGAATTAGTTTCAAAAATGAAAGATATGCAGATGGACAAGACTGAGTTGGGGTGTCTGAGGGCCATCGTTCTCTTCAATCCAGGTAATTCTTGCCCCGTGACTATGCTGTGGCGAGTGGGGTTGGGGTGTACGTGCCAAGAGTTCGGAGGGAGCAGGGGGGTAGCGAGAGAGCGAAAGGGAAATCTGGATTGCGATAGAAACTCTGTGTCAGGGATTCAGTACCTGCTACTGATAGGAACCAGCTTCCACATCGTGCTGTCACTGGGGATCCCATTGAAGCAGCACTCTCCACAGGCAATGCAGGCACCTCATTAACACTCAGCATGTCATTCCCACCTCAGCAACAGGATTAGGAAGCTGGAACAGGCCCCCATCAACAACTCAAGCTGGACGATGAACTGAATGAATTTAGTACACTTCCTGTTAAACTCTACACTAGGACATTTGTGGAAATATTTCCTCTTAATATGAGTACTGGGCAGTATTCACTGAGATTGTGCCTGCTGTAAGTAAATGACAAGTTAGTTATTTATTGGCATTTTATACAATAGGAATAAATTGAAAGAGGTTTGGCTGATTGGAATTCATTATAATGGCAGCGAAAAGTAAAGGTTTTATTCCTTAGAGTGTACTACATAATGGGATTGCATTTTACGAGAGTTATTCACCAGATTTCTGTTCATTGGTAGTTGTGTTGTTTAATGTCAGCTGATGTTATTCTTGGACAAGTCAAATTCCAGACTGAAATGTGGCTCAGTAGATCATTTTTATATTTAACAAGATGGTTTCTCATTGAAACAGAAGTTGTAGATTTGATTTTAACAATAAAACAAGTTTATTACACAAAATGAATGAAGGTCAAACAAAATAAACCAAACCATTCACAATTTAAAGGTTTAGGAACACCCAGTAAAATAAACTCCCACTAATCACAAAGGTAATCTTTTACAGTGTTCACACCAGAAAGAATTCCCTCTGTTTTGTGTTTATTGGGAATAATTCAGCTGGTGGCTTCAATTCTCTCTATCTCTCGTCTGAATCTGACAGCCTTTTCCTGGACTGTTGTATAATGGAGTTTAGTCTTCCTCAGCTTGTGAAACAACTTCTTCAGGATAACAGCCCAATGCTTCTGGTCTTGGACTTTCAAACGAACCAGCTTTAATGGACGTAACTTATTTCTTAACAATTCTAAACCACCACCTTTCATCACAAGCAGCTGGCTTTGCATATTGAACGTCTGCCAGAACTGCTGCAAAACTGACCGAGATGCAAAAGCTTTTTTTCCCAAGCTGTGGGCGTTACCCCTAAATTCCAGAATCTTCTATCTGAAGATCTAATGCACTGCACTGTTTACTTCTCTCCCAATGTCAACAAATTCTCACAAACCTCCATAAACTATCTCCCTCAGTCTTTACACAGATAAGTCACCATGACTACAGAACTACTTCTACTACTTGTTTAACCCGTATGGACAGGCATGCCAAAGCCCACATGTTACTAGATTAAAACCTAAACTG